TTCGACTCAACTACAAGTTCGAACAGTTGTACCTCGAAGTATTGAGCTTGTTTTGTAAGTACAGTACCTACAACCACTACGAATTTCTAATTGGTGCATGCGCTTCCAACTCCCATGCCCGTGAGCACTGCGACGACATACGCCCGACGAAGGATGAATGCGACCGTGATCGTCATTTAAAAGGGTTGCATTAGTCATGACAGTAATTTACTCTTAATAACATGAGAGATATGTGACTCGAGCAATTGTTTTTGCCTTGGATTGAGTTGAAAGGGGAGGGTTATGACTCGACCCTAACTAGGCTTCCTGGTGTCGATGCCAAGGACCTGAGGAAACCTGGGACTGAACCAGCGACCATCGGTGTGTTCTTATCATACTTAGATCAGGTGTAAAGTGATCTATAAGTAGACGCGCTCCCAACTGAGAGCCAAAAGAACTGGTCAATCTTATTGTACTACGAGAATGTGTACTCTCGACTGATTGCGTATGCAGCCGTGGTACTCATTTTCTCGTACTCGTCAGCTCCGTCATGACGAGAGATGGTAACTAACTGCGTTGATATAGGTCTGGAGGCCACGTCATAAAATTATGTCCTATTAAACGGTTTTGACAAATCAGCAAAAAAATTCCAAAGTCTCAGATCCCATGACAAAAGGAGAAAAGAAGTATCTACAAAGTTGACTGGTTTATTGAGTTTGGGTTATCATCGGAAAATGCACTTTTAACAAATCAATTGATACAGGACATTCGGTCCGACTTTCTTCTGTCAATTTCTCACGTCTGGTTTTGACTTCGCTTTTGTATATAATTAATATTACAACGAACAAGAAAGTCGGACAAACGGTCGGACGATCACTTGGTTCCTGTATATCCTGTCCGACTTTTTTTGACTAATGGAAGATTTCGATTTTCGCAACTTTTCTTCGAAAAACGGCCATTTTATGCCATGTTTCGTGGCATCCAGACCCGCCCTAAACTCACGTATTAATAGTATACCAATGACCAGTCGAGAACCGGGTGGGTTCGGCGGACCAGCATTTCTCAAAAATACTGGTGTGTGCACCGAGGTGGACTTCGGCGGACTCGGATACTAAACACCGAGGTCGACTGTTTTGGAGTTCAATACCGGCATTTTGATCACCTTGGTCGACAGGTCTTCAGTTCAATAACCCATATTGTTGACATTATTCCAGGGACTTCAAACCGTAGATGGAACGTACGGAGTACTATTTAGTATGGTGCTCGGAAGATAGAGACAGTGCCCTGTGATATGATGAGCAAGGCTATGAGTTGTCGCCCTGTGATATGATGAGCAAGGCTATGAGTTGTCGGGTAGGGATGTGAGAGGTTTGGAATGATGTAGCCTTGGCTTTCATTCCTGGTTCTACCTCTAGTTGAGCTCTACCTTTGTCATCTACCCTTCCCCCGGCCTATCGAACAGCGACCATGCTTGTTCTTCTCACCGTAGTCCTTGCCTTCATGATGCCTGCGTCAGGCCAGCCCCCTACGAAGGAAGAATGCGCTAAACATGGGCCTAACACTACGTGCCACCGGAACATCGCCTTCGTGTGCGGCTCGGATGGCCAAAGCTACGACAACCACTGCGAATTTCTAATTGCTGCATGCGCCTCCAACTCCCACCTGTCCTTACATGCCCGTGGGCACTGCGACGACATACGCCCGACGACGGATGAATGCGATCGTATCGGACCTCTATGTCCCCGCATTTACATCCCCGTGTGCGGCTCGGATGGACGAAACCACGGCAACTCCTGCGAATTTCAAATCCGTCAATGTAAAGATCCCACCCTGAGATATCGAGGCAATGGGGAGTGCGAAGTCAAACGCCCGACGAAGGATGAATGCAATCGTGGTCGTCATTTAAAAGGGTTGCATTAGTCATGACAGTAAGTTACTGTTAATAACATCAGAGATATGTGACTCGAGCATTTGTTTTTGCCTTGGATTGCGTATGCAGCCGTGGTGCTCATTTTCTCGTACTCGTCAGCTCCGTCATGACGAGAGATGGTAACTAACTGCGTTGATATAGGTCTGGAGGCCACGTCATAAAATTATGTCCTATTAAACGGTTTTGACAAATCAGCAAAAAAATTCCAAAGTCTCAGATCCCATGACAAAAGGAGAAAAGAAGTATCTACAAAGTTGACTGGTTTATTGAGACCTACAAGATTGCGCGGCGTTCCAACGCTTGGGAAAACTGCATGAATCCCGGTACAACACAAGAAGTGAGTGGCTATGTTACAGTTAACGTTAAGGCATACTACTGTACTGTAGTATGTCTGGATCACGTTTATCCAAACAATCCACCAGAGGTGCATGCCCATAGAACTCTGTTTCCGATGATAATCCAAATACTGTACTTTCAAAACAAGCTCAATACTTCGAGGTACAACTGTTCGAACTTGTAGTTGAGTCGAATGGAATGGATTCTGTTGTGATACCGACCATTGATTGGTTAAAAGTGCTTTGACCATGGCAGATGAACAACATAATGAAGTTTTGCCATGGTCAATGCACTTTTAACAAATCAATTGATACAGGACATTCGGTCCGACTTTCTTCTGTCAATTTCTCACGTCTGGATTTGACTTCGCTTTTGTATATAATAAATATTACAACAAACAAGAAAGTCGGACAAACGGTCGAACGATCACTTGGTTCCTGTATATCCTGTCCGACTTTTTTTCACTAATGTGCCATTATTGACATGCAGGTGTGCGTGGTGCACCGAGAAATGCAATGATGCTTGTTATGGTTCAAAGTGAGATCGCAAGAAGGTAGGATATCCATTCGCACATGAATTGCAATCTATTTCGGTCATGAAAAATTACAGTAACGTTAATATGATGGATGCGTTCGTTGTAATCGGACGGGGCGCGGTGTGGATACTCTGTCACGTGACAATCCTACAGTAACCCAACACAGAAAGAATTGACTCCTCACATTTCAATTGACTTCGCATGTCAGTCGTCCACCGCTTCGCTTACGCCACCCTGGTCGCCACGGACTCGTACGCGGTCGGCGCAGAGGTCCTTCGCGCTAGCTTGCTTGCCACCAAGTCCCCATATACGCTGGTCATCCTGCACACACCCACCGTCTCTGAGAGCGTGGTGGAGAACCTCCGTCGACTGGAAAACGTCCAGGTCGTTCCCGTCGCGTGGCTGTATCCACGACCCGACCAAGCCACGAGCTACGCCTTCGACCGGTTCAAGGACGTGTGGAAGAAACTGCGCGTGTTCGAGCTGACGGTGTACGACACCGTCGCGTTCCTCGACTCGGATATGCTCGTCACTCAAAACATGGACGAGCTATTCACGCTCATCGGCGACGCCCCAGACACTCTCGTGGCCAGTTTGGCCTGCACTTGCAACCCCATGAAGATTCCTCACTATCCAACGTAAGTATGTACATGTTTGCAGACTACTAGTATATGCATGTACAGTATTGCAGCGTTCGATGGCTTCGTTTTGGAATGTAGACATTGGCAGCCCGAGAACTGTCCGTACTGGAAGCGCGAGCATGGCGGCATGGTAGACTCGAACATTGTCCCCAAATACTTTAACTCTGGTATGTTTGTCTTGCATCCAAGTACGTCGTCCCCATGATCCTCCATGAATCTAGCTAGACCATCAAACTGCTCGCCTAAACTGGTAGACATGGCCACGTTCAATCGATTGGTCAGTCGGTTTCAGGACGAACCAGACTTGAGCCGGTTTGTATTTGCCGACCAGTGCTTCTTCAACGAAAACTTCCCCAACTTTCACGTGGCGAGCTACAAGTACAACGCGGTCAAGATGCTTCAGTCGGCCCACCCTGCGACGTGGAACATGGAGGTAGGTAGGTGTCAGGACTATTTCTCATCTGGCTTGGCTGCAGGAAGTGAAGAACGTGCATTTCATTCTCACGAAACCATGGGACGTCGATCCAACAGATCCAGGTCAAGGGGAAGTTCCCTTCCTCGATTTGTACAAAATCTGGTGGGCCACAAGGGACAACAACGCCCCCGCCGCCGCCTTGTCGACGTGATCGTAGTCGCACCGGCGAGTCGATGGAAGCTGCTGCGTACTAGAGCAAGCCAAAGTTGCCACAAATCATCGTGTTGTCACCCGCCCAGAACGTACAGAGCTGCGATACAGGGTATGTAGTGGTATACTGTAATGTTATCATTGGTGAGGGGGGTTCAAAGCAGGAAGTGTAGCTTACGCCCCATTAAACTACAAGGATTGGCATCACGCCGATGGCACTACAGCAATGCAAAGCGAGCCAAACCTCTAGTACTTGCGCAACATCACAGTCTACACGGCTACATCAGCAACCTAATCGAGGCGAAAACAGTGCCACTCCTGATGAAGTGCACTGGTAGGCTGCTGCGTCCAGCCAAAGAAGTACAGAAAATCAATATGCACCGTAGTGCAAATTAAAACTTCCAACGAGTATTGCGTATATGTGACATGGTATGGACAAGTGTAGAGACAAGTTAGTACAAAATCGAAAGGCTTGAAAGGGAATCATGTCTCGTGTTTATATACAATCACACGCCGAGGGGCCACTTTCCGTCGCAGTCGCCTTGTCGCACGACGGTGAGCTTGATGTGCTTGGCACACGCGTCGCGCTTCATGGAGCACTCGTTCTCGTAAGTGACACCATCCGAGCCACACACTGGTTGAAAGATCTCCAGGCACGCTTGGGGGCACTCTGGGTCGGCTTGTCGGACGTGGACGTTGGCGTGCACGTCGCACTCGCCTTCGAAGGCGATACCCACGACGGTGTGTGCGCGGCACGTCTCCTGTCGAAGCACACATTCGTTGGAGTATGTGTTTCCGTCCGTGCCACACACGGGTTGGTAAATTTCAATACACGCATCGGGACACGCTTCCGTAAGCTCGCGTTTTTCGCTGCACTCGCCTTCGAAGGCGATACCCACGACGGTGTGTGCACGGCACGTCTCCTGTCGAAGCACACATTCGTTGTCGTACGTGTTGCCGTCCGTACCACACACGGGTTGGTAAATCTCAATGCACGTGTTGGGACACGCTTCCGATAGCTCGCGCTTTTCGCTGCATTCACCTTCGGAGACAAGCTCCAGGGTCGTTTTTTCAGAGCATTGCGCCAACTTGAGTAGGCAATCGTTGCCGTACGTGACACCGTCGCTACCGCACACAGGCATGTAGACGCGGGTGCAGCCTCGAATACTGGCACAATGGTCGGACGTGTCGTTCTCTACCGACGATGCGGCGGCGAGGAAAGCAACGCAGGCGGCGACGATCACGCTAGCGCGCATCATGTATTGGTGCTTGGGATAAGGATTTTTGAGTAATGGTATGGACGAAACTATTACGCTAGGAGGGACGCGAATTGTAACCCAATGCACTCATATCTATACTTGTTTAAAGTATTCAGGGACTGACTCATGTGCCAACTATGATAATGCGTTTTATTAAAAACGCAGAGTTATATGAGGTAATGGTGTATAAAACGGCACTACCCAAGACGTTTAAACGTTTGCCCAAGATATCAGGAGGGGAGACATTTGAGTACCCAACCGCACAAAATACTCATCTGATGCAGCAAGACAAACTGTAAGTAAATTTCCACCAATAGAAGGTGGCCACCACATGCCACCGTTTGAGACTTTTTTGGGCCTCGAACCCCCAAGCCAATGATGAGAGAGGATAGCTTAAAAAGTCTCCAATCCTCAGATCAGATGTAGTACTCGATAAAGTAATTTAGGTACTAAGCTTAAGGAATGTTGGTGTACCACACTCCATCCCAGGTCTAAGCACCACACGCCATCGGGGGCCCGGGGGAGAGGGCCATGCTCTGGAGAAGTTATGTTTTGGTCGACGTTTTTACTTGTTCTAAGTGACATTATAATTACCTTATATAGTACATCGATTGGAGGCTATTTATTGACGAGCCAGCGCTATTGTATTTCGATCCCAAATCTCTCCGTCTATCCACTACTGTACAACTCTGATGCAAGGTCAGCATCGTGTTACGTCATACATGTACTTGAAGCAACACGTGAACTACAGGCTGTCGTGCCCAGCGATACGCTCGTGCACTTTCTTGTCAGTGCATTCGCCTTTGTGGAGAATTGCCAGCGTCGACGTAGATCCTTGCTTGCACTTGGCCATGGCCAATTCGCACGAGTTGCCATATGTTTTGCCATCCGTGCCACAGACGGGGTCCCACAACGCGATGCAAGCGGCGGGGCAGTCGTCATGGCGGTCTTCCTCGTGTAGTGGGGTCTCGGCTTCGCATGCGCCATTGGCTTTGACGATACTCAAGGACAGGGTGTGGCACTTAGCTTTACGGAATTCGCAGTCATTGGCATAGGTGATACCGTCCGAGCCGCACACAGGCGCGTAGGAATAGCCACACGACAATGGACAAAGAACCAATGGGTCCTCGCACGGCCCAATGGCACGAAGGAATAGCTTGGGGTTGTCGCACTGGGCAAATCGAAAGAGGCACGGGTTGCCGTAGCTGACGCCGTCCGAGCCGCACATGTAGTCTAGCTCGCGGGTACATGCACGAGGACGAGCGCATTCTTCCTTCGTCAAGCGCTGGCCTGACGAAGGCATCAAGAAGGCAAGGACGAAGGTGAGGAGAACAAGCATGGTCGCAACAGCTAAAAAAGCGGAATGGAAATACGAAATCAGCCTTTGAACAACTTCAACGGCAAGAGTGCGTGCGGCATACCCTGATCAAGTGCTTCGGTATTCCGGATACATTGTCCGGATACGTTCGCTTGTGATTCCATCATTTCGAACTTTGACCACCTTGCTCGTCAGGTTCCTTCAAGAATGACCGACGCAGTACAGACGTGGAAGGCCCAGCTGGTGGAATGTGACCCAACGTCCGATCAATGGAAGGAAGCAGCGCAACATATGCGTGAATATGCGGCCGATTTTGTCAACGGTCTAAAGCGACGTCCGAACAGTAGAGCTGTGGACGAAGTCCGGGCACTCATTCCCGACGATCTCCGCGAGGAGCTGGAGGCGCTGCCCGTGGCCCAATTCGCGCTTGGCCTGATATTCTATCGACCATTTCAAGACTACAACCGCGTTTACCGACATTTCTCCCACGAGGTACGTCAGTTAGACAAGCAGCCATGGTTCCATTTCCATCGTGCGTGCGCCTGTGTGTACAGTATGCCAAGGAATTGTCGATGCAAGCGCGAAAAGATTTCAGCGAATTCGACACGACGAGCTTCGTACGTCCCTGCGTGCTGACGTCCCTATCTCCTCGTCGTCTCATCTTGTGTGTAGGTGTACGGCGAGATCTCGTTTTTCCCATTTGCCGACATTCTGGATTCCATTTCCGCCGACATCCCAGTCGGCAACGGTGTCTTTTACGACTTGGTAATGCAAGGATCGTAGCGGCGTTTCCTTCATAAACATGAGTGTGCAGGGATCGGGCGTCGGCAAAGCCGTGATGGCGGCGGCGTTGGTTCACAAGTTCCACAAAGCGATTGGGATCGAGCAACTAAAGGTACGAATGGAACATGGCCTCCATCATGACAGCTCGCATGATGTATGGCCATACGTAGCCATTGGTGGACTTTTCCCATGCACGAGTGGACAGGCTCATGGAAACGAACGACGTCGCAGGGCAAACGATATCGTACCTTTGCGGGAGTTTCTTTGACCACAAGTGGAGCGACGGTGACGTGGTGTTTTGCCACAGCACGTGCTTTTCGCCAAGGTACGTTTTTGTTATTAGTTTGCCAATGGTTGGATGTTTGGACACGAAAGATATGATGGATAGCATGTGGGAGCGCATTTCGAAAGACGCGGAACAGCTCAAGCAAGGCGCGTACTTCATTTCTGTGTCGCACATCCTTGCGTCGCCGTTGTTTGAAGTACTTCGCACGCTGACGGTGCAGATGGGTTGGGGCAACTGCACTGTGTACATTCAAGTACGTGTGACGTCAAATAGTGTGCACGACACTTGATGATGATGGTGTAGCGGCGTCGCCGCATTGGACGGTGGGCGAGCAAGATGCTCAAGGGAAGTGCCACGCGCACGGACTTGCAGCGACCCAACACCAAGCAGAGCGAGCTTCGAGAATAGGATCAATGCAGTATATAATTTGAGTACTATGCATTTGTTGATGGTAACATCACAGAGCATTAACATGGAAACGGCTTGAAATGCATGGCTTATACTGTGCACACATGTTGATTTCGAAAGAGCCGAGGCTGCTTCAAGCCAATTCTGGTAATGTTTGCGCTAGTACTACTGCAGTAGTGTCAGTTTCTCAGTATTAGTCTTCGCAGTAGTTTGTTCACTGTAAATCGGGGGTCCTGTAGTAGTACGGTCATAGCTCTACCAAAAGTTACATTGGCAAGAACACCCCTCGCACATTGTACAATCGTTATAGCATTGTTTGCGTTTCCAGTTTAGTCAAATCTCGTGACGCGGATGCTTGTGAACTGTACACGTTTCATCGTTACACTCTATAAAAAGGCGCCGTGAAACCGACTGATGGTGTTAACTGCCCAAGTCAACTCGCACAGCGTTGGCGCGGTGCATGGTCGGCTATGTACTCGCTGCAAGTAAAGTCCAAACTGAGCAACAGCAGCAGCAGTAGTTCTAGCAACGGATCCAAGTCCATCCAGATCGAAGGGGCGTCACGTGACGAATCGTCGCTCCAGTACGACAACGACGATATCTTGGATTACGACGACGACAACCACTATGACCCTGGCGGCCGGCCATTAACGCCACAGTCGTGGGTGCAAAAGATTGGGTCTGCAATGTTTCAAAAGATCAAAATCACCCCGAGCACAGACGCCCCCATAGTCGTGATCAAGCAAGCAGTCCCCGCGAGCCCCCCTCAACCTGTACAACCAAACAAAACGACTACCTGCGTGCCCCATCGACCGTCCAAGTTTCACCTACACCTTGACACACAACCTGATGAAACGAGGATAGCCATGCCCCCCTCATCCACCTTCCCCGACGACGACCGTGACGTTCCTAAGCCAAGGGGGGGGTCCATAGGTCACCAGTCGATCGAGTTTATCAAAGTATACTGCAGCCCCAAGCGACAACCCCAATCCCCCAAGATTCAGCCCCAGCGAGATCCCCCCGCCTCAAGATCCTCGTCATCCCCCGTCCGCCGCACGGACGTCAACAACTTTCTCCATGACGACGACTTGTCCCCTATGAAACGCCCTGAAGTCCGGGGGGACGTTGTGCCCGTGCTCCAGAGTTTCTTTGCCCGCCCAAAACCAACCAAAGGCCGAACAAAACACTACGCGCACACTGTCGACAAGATGATCCATCGACAGGAACAATACAAGCGGGACCTCGCACGCCACGACCAGCTCCGGGCGTCAGCAGCAGCTTTATCATGCAAGACGAACAACATGGACGACGACGATACAGTTGTGTGCAGGCGGGAGGCGCTGCGGACGCACGCGCGGTCCCTCAAACGACAGCGTATGGCAGACCTCGCCGCCGCCAAAGCGGTGCTCCATGCCCGAGACGAGATGGACCGGCGGTGCTTTCAGGACACCCGCGAGTCGTGGGAAGGCGCGTTTGAGGCCGACGTGGCCGAGTTGGCCGTAGCATTTGCAAAAGCCAGTCACCACGATGACAGCAGGCATCGTCGACCCATGACCACCGCCGGGCTCGTGGTGCCCCAAGCTCAAAGCCAAGTCAAACGTGATAAAGTACTGCTGCTACTGCGAGCCCAAACAGCGCCTACCACACCACAGACCCTACCGTCCGCCTATAATCCCAGTAGGGCCCCGTCGCCAGTGATGGAAGGAGTCCTTCCCGGTGGTGACGACGACGAGTCAATCTCCAAACTCCATCCTCTAGAAGCTCCGAGTGGCTATGATTGGCTAGACAGGTCACAGTCTGTGGAAGCAGCAGAAAAAGCGACGTCAGGGCTGTCGGACAGTGACATGTTAGCCGCGAGCATGCTAAGCGAGAACGACGCCCACGACGATGCAAGTTCGAGGGCAGACACTGTATCAGGTGTCTGTGGCCATCCATCCCCCTCTGACAAGTCCACACTGTGAACAAGGATAGAATATTCATCCACGTAATAGTAAGGTTAGACCACGTGAATGTCTTCCTTGGGTAGCACATGCTTTTCAACGCTCCATCCACCTTGGAGCTTCTCGGTGAGCACGGTGTCGCCGTGGGGTAGAAACACATCCATTTCCCCCGACATCAGCAGCACGTCAGTCGGGTCGTTTTCCACGGTGAGCTCTTCCAATGCGTAGCCAAGCAGTTGGTCCTTGATAGATCTAATAGAGTTGTCATCGATGCATAAGCGTCGTTCGAAAAGGATGCTGTATCTCGTACTTACTCGGGGAACCAAATGTTGACGGGAAAGAACCAATGCATTGCTAGGTTGTTGGATGTCCCGCCAAACACTTCGCGAACGCCGAGGTTCTCGCTCGTCTCGCCCTTGAGCCGATCGATTTGGGTCGTGCCCGTGGTGATGACGCTGTACTGGTCGCACATCATGCACATGGTGAAGAGGCCAAACAGCACGGCTTCCATGCACAAGCATACGACGTGCATCACTACACATATTTACATGCATGACCTACAACGATACGATGACACAACTGGGCTACGTACAGCCATTGCTAGCGCAGCTACAACCAACACGAAATGCCGTGAGTGGTGTGGAGAGTATGAGGACTTGAGGAAGAAAGGAGTAGTGGCGTACGTTTCGTCGATGCAATGGGCATAGCGAGTAAATACGAGGCTCAGGGCGTACGCTGACAAGAGGAACACGTAGAAAATGAACAGTAAGAAGAACTTGTGGTTGCCAAGCCCGACGCAGTTGTTCACCCATGGACAATGGTGGTCCATCTTGATCACACATCGCTCGCAAATGCTGCAGTGATGCGCCCGTGCAGGTTTGAACGTCTTGCATCGCCGACACGTGCGATACCGTTGCTCTTCCAACCTGCGCCAAGAAACATCATGACAATCTATCGTCGAGTCGATAGAAGTGTACCGGTTGAGCTCCTCCTTTGGCGCATGCTTCAAGGCTACAGGAATGGCGTCTTCGGGGACAGAACCGGGATCTGTCATCATGGCTAACGCAACGCGCATGAGAGGTAGGCGATGCGAACGTGCGTTGTAAGCGACAAACCTTTGCCGTGGGAGACAAGGGCCAAGAAGCACGTGGTCGTGAATAGACACATGTGGACAAGGCCAAGAATGCTCGGTCCCATCCACGGGTATATGATGACCCCCTACCGAACGAATGACTGACCAAGCAGCTGTGGGATGCGAATACGTACGACGACGACGTATTCCGCGTACAAGATGAGGAACCAGGAGATCGCCGCGCACACGACACCGCAGCAGTCCCAGTTGCACCACACCTTGGCTCGGAAGCTAGTGCCGCATTCATGTCCTTGCCTTTTCTTGTCGTTGACCATGTTGGTACTAGTAGCGCCGCCTGCAGACGGAAACAACGAACAAATATCCAATCTCGCACATGTGCGTTTCGACTAGGTTCGACTTGGTAAATACTACTATGTTAACAGTAAATCAGTACCCTTAAATATGACTAATGATTGGCTATTACTCCCGAAATAGTACAATTAGATTGGATATAAATCGACATTTAGGCAGAATTTTTTCTAGGTGCCACAAGATCACCATGGCGTCCGAGCCAGCATGGGCATGTGTGGCGTCGTCTGCGTTTCCTCTGATTTATTCGTACAGCAAGGACCTGACCCTGGGAGGAACAAGAAGTCGATCCATGGAGAAAGACCATGTCAAGCTCATCCAAGCCCTTGAGCAGCAACTCAAGCTCAAGGGTCGAAGTGTCGCCAACAAAGCCGAGACGTTGTTCTTCTACAGCCACTTCCCATTCCTGACGCCAATCGAGTTGGAACTGGTACTCCTTCGACTTTCCGAGCAGTTCTGTGCCCCAACGTACGTAGTCGTGTAATGCTTGTCCATCATTGCTCACCTCGGAATCGCATGAGGCAGGTCGTCGACGAGCTTCCGGGTAGCTATCTTGGCGCTGTTTGAACGCCTTCAAGGCCATTTCCCCAACAAATCCATTTCCGACGTTAGCAAGGTACCTCGAAAGGATGCTCTTGTGCACGTGTCATGTAACCTCGTTACATTCCAGATCACCACCCCCATTGCGCAAGTTGTCGCTCAGCACGATCTTGTGGAAACCCGAGTTCTCGCATTGCGAGTGCTGGCCATCCTTGCTCCATTCTGCCGCGACGATGCGACAGCGCATACCGCGTACGCATGTGCATATCGGACGATGTTGGGCTAACTCCTTTGTAGCATATTGCACTCGATTGCATCGAGCCAACATTCTGAAGTGTCGGTGGCCGTCGCGACGGCGGTCGCGCTTGTTCCACACTCCCCATCATTTCAACAAGTAGCGGCCCAGACATTCCTTTCAGACGCCCTTCAACTCCACACGCTGCCACTCTTGCCCCTACTCTGCGCCGACTCTTCGATCGCTCATGAGGTTGGTTCCCCCTTCCAAGCACCTTTACACGTCGGAGTGTCACCATTGCGCGTCGTCACTCATGCGTTTCTGTAGCAATATGCGAAATGCCACTCCTTCCTTCATGTAATATGCCCCAACCCCCATCTCCAACAACAACTAGCTCGATCATCCGTGTGTTGGGTTGACAATCAAGTTGTAGCGCGGTGTGTATCACAACGACGACGGGGTTGTCGAGTATGCCAGTATCCGGTGGGTCGCTCCGATTTTAACCACCATGACGCAGCTATCGATCCTTGACCTGACTTCGACGCGGCTGACGTCATTAGTACGTTCTACTCGAACATATCTATACCGGCTAACTACATATCCATTAGACGGCGCTCTTTCGCTCCCTCCTCGCGCCTTCGCGTGTGAATGCCTCTCTTCAACGCATTGTCCTGCGCTGCTGCTGCTGCCTCACGCTGGCCCCACCCTCGACGCCGTCGCACATCCTGGACGACCTGCTCCACGTAACCACACGCACTCCTGTCGAGTGTCTGATACCTGTAATAACTTGGAACTAGGTCGTTGCCGGCACAATCTATCCGCATGCGTGCTCGGACGACGTGGACATGGACATGCTCGTCTTCTTTGAACGGTGGTCTCAACACCGAGCGCTACCGGAAGACCTGACGGTGCCCCGGCAGCTGTTTGCTCGGCAGGCAGCACCGCGCGCCTCGGCGATCTTTGCGCGCATGCTGTTCCATCAAGCCCGCCACCAGCCGTTGTCCATCGATGGGGACCACCGGCCGACGACGTCCTCCGCCGCCGCGTCGGTGGCCGTCACATGCCTCGTCCAAGTCCTGGTCGAAGCTCCAGTCAAGATTCAACCCACTATTATCAAAGTTGTCGAAGGGCTTGCCACGTCATGTCCCCGCGTCGCGACCGCTCTGCTTTCACGGCTCTGCCAGGCTTTGCTAGAGAGCAACTGTCTGTCGTCGGCCTCTGCGATGTGGGTGCTGGTGTCGCACCTGGCATCGATTGGTTCGGTGCCCGACACCATCCAGGCAGCCATCGTCGCCACCGTGCCCTCCAAGTGGACTGCAAATGAGTCCACGACCGCCTTGGCCATGGTGGTCACGCTCTTGCGCAGTGGTGGTGGCTACTCCTCTGCCGACTCTCGGCGACAAGGCATCCTCGTCGCCATGACCACCCATGATGATTCGTATGCGTTGTACCAAACTGCTCGGGAATGCATCCTCCACGGCGCATTTGACATTGCGACGAACATCTTGTCTAGAGTTAAAGCCCACTGCGCGTCTGAAAGGTCCGTGAGAGCCACACCTCCGAGACACAGTATATTGAAACAAAGCATATTGCGTAGAACTGGCCATTGGATGGCGGCGTTGCATGCATGGACGTCGGCGGAAGGCCTGTTGATGTCCCAGCCGTCCATCGTGCCATCGGTCGGACTCGTCCACTTGCACGCTGCCATCACGTCGCTCGAGGCGGCGGCGACGTCGACAACGCCCATGGACTTCCCCCTTGCGTTTTCAAACTTCCGCGTTGGCTATCTCACCACACTTCAGTCTCTCTTCCAGGTTGACAGACCGACGCCTTATATATATGTATCATCTCTTGCTCGTTTGACGATGTACTTTTTTGGCGGTGGTACGAAAGCTGAATATGTTGTTGGCTTGTAGCATATGTTTGAGGTTCAAATCGCGGGAACCAGCAGTAGCGTGGGAGCGTCGTCGTCCGCCCAACGCCGCCGCCTTGGGGACGTCGCGAGGGACTTCACGTTGCATGCCACGACCGTGCTTTCATTGGGGCGTGCATCCTGGAGCCACGAGGATCTGCTTCTGCTGGCCGCGCATGGCCACCTCTGCCACGTCCTCCACGACGCCGTCCATCGCTTCTTCGTGATGCCACCACTCAACTCGTCGGAGACGCCTGTCCACCAGCCTCACTCCATCCGTCAGTGGCCGGGGTCTGTCGCCGGCACGTGTCATCGCTTGACCACGCCGTCCCCCCTCTGGCACTTCTGCAACGCCCTGGACAGCGAGTTGCCCCATGTGCCCGTGCCCGCCTCGCTTCGGGACGCTGCCGCCCTCGTTGTGGACCTTGCGCGCGCCGCGATCGCCGTCCCCTGTGCGATCCCCCGACAATTTTTCCGCACCACCTCCGTCGACGTGCCATGCGACGTGCAGATTGCGTCGGCGTCGCTGAAAATGATGAGCCGCAGTGTGTTGGGGCTGGCTGCGCACACTCCCACCTGCCACGGCCACCTCCATGTGTCAATGGACTTGGCACACGCTCGACATGGCAGCCCCCTAAGGGATCATATGTCGCCTTCTTGGCGACTGGTTTTCGAAGGTGCGCTGGATAACGGGTTTGCCTTTACGACCCACGCAGAGTATGCCCACGACGGAAAGAAGCGGTGGCAGGGGGCCCTTCCCCTCCAAGTGGACGCCGGAGGGTTTGGGGCTCAAGGCACGTCGTGTGCCCTGATTGGTCACCTCTGGCTAGTCAACAGTCACGAGCGATGGCTGGTTGCAGAACGAGTCCTTGAGCGCACTGTGGTGGTGTACTAGTTAACACGTTGATTTGTATCGATTGTTTACGTTATGTGGTGAATCGAATGATCAAGAAGATCGTTGTCAGCAACACGACCAAGCTAATGATCGACGCCAAGATTGGATACGAATGCTTGCGCTCCACGACCTTGACATGGGTCTTCTTAGCCTCGACCGCGTTTGAAATAGTGAGAAACCACTTGCGCTGCCGAGGATCCTGGCTCATCCACACCTTCGTACAAGTCGAATGCGTGAGTACTGCGTTCAAGCCGTGCTGTACGTGGGATGGTGTGTACTACCTCATGCTCGCGATTAGAATATGAGAACACGACTTCATGACGCTGTGTTGATGGCTCCCAGCGATATATGTCTGGACAAGCTGCATGGACATCATGGGTACCTGTCGACAGCAGCAGCACGGCCAGCAGCACCATCAATGGTCCACCCCACCCAACCATCGACGGTTTTCAAATGTAACCGAAAGGCCGACATGACAGAATGTTGGTGTCCGTGTTAAGGGAATTGGACGGTTTATGCGGACATTTCATGTTTGTATGCGTCGGTGAGGTCTATAATTACCTTATACAAATATACTTGTGATTCCGACGACCAATTTATACTTGGGGTTTATATGTCCTCGACCATGCGATGTTGCATACCCTCGCCGTGACCCGCTTCTGTATTGCTGCGGCGTGCGTAATTCGACATGAGCAGGCCGCAGAAGAAGCCCCTGCAGCCATGGGCTGAGCAAATGATCAGTGCCTATCATCTACCTCCTCTGGACGACGATGACTACTTTGTGCAGTGGGAGACTGGCCGTCTGGGCGTGAACATCTCCGAGGACAAAGAGTCAGAGCTGCCGTACGTGTCCAAGATCACAGACGCGCAGTCGCCGCTGGCAGCAGCCATGGAAGTTGGCGACTTTCTTCTGTGCGTGAACGAACTCCGCGCGGAGGAGAACTCATTCAACAACTTTCTGCGCCTCCTTACGACGAAGCAGAAGCCAGTGTTGCTGCGCTTCCGTCGAGGGACACCGGCCACTCGCAATCGCATCATCGCGAACCACGACGCCAAGTACCCACCTCGATCCTCGTCCCTCCAGCGGAAATCTTCCAAGGAAGACCTGTCGTCCAGAACGTCTTCCTCCCTTCGACCAATCTTAACCTCGGACGCGACCATCAGCACTTCGTCGTCGCGTTGGTCTAGTCAGTTGTCGCCGTCTGTCGTAGCATCCTCGTCCTTCGCTCGAACAAGATCAGGCCATCAAGCGGACATTTCATTGTCGCCATTGCCTTCTCCTCCACCTCCCATGCTCCCCTCGGAACATGGTCGGTCCACGTCCATCCCAGAGAGCAGGGTCATGCCGCCATCATCGTCCCAACAACGTTCCCCAGCTCCTCCCGCCGGAATTATTGCCCTTCCAACGACCTCTTCGACCCCTCCCCCCCCCCATCTTCTCGCGTCGTCGTCCTCGTCGTCCTCATCGTCGATCTCGGACGATGCCGCCGCGTTTATATTCTCGTGGGTGGATGGCCCCCTTGGGGTGTTCTTTGGCGAAGACGACGCGACGCAGCTTCCTGTGGTCACGCGGACGCTGTCCCATGCGTCGCCTCTCATCACGGCCAACGTCCAAGTAGGCGATACCCTTGTGTCCGCCAATGGCTTGCTCTCGCGGGACCACCCGTTTGCCGAGTTTTTCGCGGCGTTGCAAAAAATGACCAAACCGATCCAACTCGTGTTTGCACCATCCATAGCGCCGTTGGCCGATGACGTTAGCATGCTTTCCACTCCCGATGACGCAATCACGGGCGATCACGTCACCACGTCCCACGAACCAGATCAGGGCGGACATCATCGCCCGAACCCACCGCCCCCCCGGTCCCCGGCCTCGCGGGGCATCGACGTCGGGGCCAAGGGGGAGCCTTTGAAAGACAGCGACAAGAAACCTACAGCTGCAACGACAACAATATCCCCTCTTGGACCCAACCATGTAATCCCACAGACTGCGTCGCCATCGACGACCAAGGCACCAGTGATGGCCAGTCGCGGACTGCTCCCAGAAGTTCCCCCCGCCGCCGCTCCGCCGATGGTGCTCGACGAACGGCCCTACACAACCGATGACGACGACGACAACGACGATGTCGGTAAAGCGACCAGCCTTCTTCATGGCCATCCTTCCAACACCAAACAGCATGACGAGGACGAGGAAGACGAGGACGATAGCAGTGTGATCACCGACGTCGACTTGGATTTGGAGTCTGCCGACGACGATGATGACGACGTGGCGGAGGACGCGGTGATGCCCACGCTGGAGTTTATCAAAGGCGCTCCGTCGCCCAAGCATCAAGGTGAAAGGGGCGATGCGGGGTCACAGCCGCCGACTCATTCGACGGATGGGACGCCGCTCCTGGTAAGGCCGACCATCATCCCCACGACATCGTCCTCCGGTGGCGTACCCCCGACAGCCACCAGCAGCAACAACAACGAGCGGACAGGAGGGGGCCGTCGAAGCCGCAGCGGGGGGAAGTCCAAGCGCAACAATTACACCGCTGGGCCCCGGCTGCCACGCGTGAACGAGCTCGAAGAGCAAACGATCGCTCTCTTGGAACCAAACAGCGTCAACATGAAGCTGACCGTGCGGGGTCGCCTCAAGAGCCAGCGCGTGTCCAAGGCCGACACCCCCGACAGCGCCATGTACTTGGTCAAGTGGAAGGAGAACCGCAGCATCGGCGTCCAGCTGCGCGAGTGCCGCCTCGCCAAGGGCGTGTACCCCATGGTCGTGCTCGTGTGTCGGGATCCGTGCTGCGACGCGCTGCGGCACGTGCACATTGGCGACCTCCTCGTGGAAATCAATGGCCGAGATACGGCCATGATGAGCGTCAAGAAGACCGTCGCGTTTGTGAAAACGTGCACCAAGACCGCCTTGCTCAAGTTTAAACGAGGCCCGGGCATCTCCGTGTCCAGGGTCAGTGCCTAGTTAGTGTCGGTAGTATCACAACAGAATCCATTCGACACAACTTAAGGTCGAGCGCTTGTTGCGTAAGTAGCGCCTACAAAATCGTACAAAATCGCACTGGTTTCAACGATGGGGAAACCTACTTGCATCCCAGTCAACACAACCGTTCGATGGTTTCATCGTCGTTGTTACATCGATGTAGGGGCAAAGTTGAGCAGATGCGGCAAGAGATTTCGTCAGGATAACGTTTATCTGGACAATATGCTTCGCCTAAAACGACAATCTCGATCCAGTACAACTCTGATGCAAGGTCAGCATTATGTTGCGACGCACTGCCCACGGCGTTGAAGGGTCGAAGGTTGGGCTTTTACATTGAGCAAATTGAGAGACGCAGAAGTTGCTGTAGCTGACGCCATCCGAGCCGCACACGGGGATTTACTCGCGGGTACATACACGAAGACAAGCGCATTGTACCCTCTTCACGTGTGTTGGATCGCACTGCCCACGGGCATGAATGGTCAAGTTGGGTGTATTACGTAGAGCAGATCGAAATTCGCAGAGGGTTTCCGTAGCTTCGGCCATCCGAGCCACACACGGGGTTGTGCTCGCGGGTATATGTACCATCATCACGAGCACATTCATCCTTCGTCGGGTGTATGTCGTCGCAGTGCCCACGGGCATAAAAGGACAGGTTGGGTTTGGCGCATGCAGCAATTAGAAATTCGCAGGAGTTGCCGTAGCTTTGTCGACCTCCTCGTGGAAATCAATGGCCGAGACACGTCCATGATGAGCGTCAAGAAGACCGTCGCGTTCGTGAAAACGTGCACCAAGACCGCCTTGCTCAAGTTTAAACGAAGTCTGTGCATCTCCATGCCCAGGGCCAGTGCCTAGTTAGTGTCGGTTTCACAACAGAATCCATTCGACACAACTACAATTCCGAGCACTTGTTTTGTAAGTACCATGTACAAGATTGCGCGGAGTTTCAACGCTGGGGAAAACTACATGAATCCCGGAACAACACAAGACGTGAGTGGCTAAGTTACAGTGAAGGCATATTGTATGTCTGGATCAAGTTTATCCAAACAATCCACCAGGGGCGCATGCGCATAGAATTCCGTTTCGGATGATGAGCCAGTGTAACGTTGCCGTTAATTGAATTACGATTACTATCTTGTCCTCCAATCTCGATCCACTACAACTCTGATGCAAGGTCAGCATTCTGTTTCTTCGCACTTCCCATCGCTTTGTTTGGTAAGGCTGAGATCTTTACATTGAGCAGCTCGAAATACGCAGGGGTTGCCATAGGTTTTGCCATCCGAGCCGCACACGGGGTTGTGCTCGCGGGTACATGTACCATCATCACGATCGCATTCATCCTTCGTCGGGCGTACCGCTATGTCGTCACAGTGCCCTTGGGCACGCTGGAACAGGTTGGGGTTGGCACATTGAGCAATTTTAAAGAAGCAGGGGTTGTCGTAGCTGAAACCATCCGAGCCGCATACGTAGTTGATGTTGCGGTGGCATACAGTGTTAGGCCCATACAGAGCGCAATTAGGGCGCTGGCCTGACGCAGGCATCAAGAAGGCAAGGACGACGGTGAGAAGAACAAGCATGGTCGCTGTTCGATAGACCGGGGGCAGGGTAGAACACAAAGGTAGAGCTCACTTCGAGGTAGAACCAGGAATGAAAGCCAAGACTACATCATTCCAAAGCTCTCACATCCTTGCCCGACAACTCACAGGCGTAAGCCTTGGTCATCATATCGCATGGCACTGTCTCAATCTTTCGAGCACCAAACATTCCATCTACTATGGTTTGATGTCCTTGAGACCTGTCGATCAGGGTGAACAAATGCTGATATTGAACTTCAAAACGATAGACCTCGATCTTTGTATCGGGGTCCGCCGAAGTCCATCTCGGTGAACCAGTATTTTTGAGAAAAGCTTGTCCGCCAAACCCAGGTGAGGGAATTTATGCCACACCGAAATTCGTCTAAATATTGATATACATATCCAATCAGAATCGCGTACTTTAAACCGGTTGGTATCATAATTGAAGTTGGCGAATCAGACTTCTACGTTTGTAGATTCTTCGATTCAAAGTGTGGCTTAAATTCCCTCGTTCACTGTAGTACGTGAGTTTATATAAACGCAGTTCGTTACCATCTCTCGTCATGACGGAGCTGACGAGTACCGTATATACCGTAAATGAAAACCACAGCTGCGTACTCAATCCATTGCTCGAGTCACAATCCATTAATACTGTAGTCGAATGCTACCCTTTTAAATACGACAACAGTAAGTACGCTGCTAGTCATATGTCTCTGATGCTTGTACTGTCTCTTTTTTTAATACGACAACTGTTCAGTTGATTAACACGTTACTCGTGGTAAGAATCATACAAATGGCGATCCCTTCCATAGCTTGCATCGTAATCCACAGTCCAGACAGTGCATCGTGTCATTACGTCCAAAGGTAGAGCTCAGTTCGAGGTAGAACCAGGAATGAAAGCCAAGGCTACATCATTCCAAACCTCTCACATCCTTGCCCGACAACTCACAGCCTTGGTCATCATATCGCAACACCTGATACCCAAGAACATCTTTTACTAGTAACGTTATATGGTGTTTACTTATGATCACCTGGAAGTTTCACTGAAAAAAGACCATCTTCTGGACCTTGAGATACAGTACTGTAATGTCGGCAAACGGTATGGGTATTGAGCTCAAGAAGACCTGTCGACCAATGTGATCAAAATGCCAATGTTGAACTTCAAAACAATCGACCTTGGTGTTTGCAGTATCAGGGTCCGCCGAAGTCCACCTCGGTGCACGAACAGTAGGGGGAGTCAATTTAGGAATTTTCTGACTGCTTTTGCTTTTCAGGGATCAGGCTTCTGATCCACTGCGTAGTCTTAGCATAGCTGCAAAGTTTTTACCGCAGCCTATACTTCTTTCAGTGGACCACACCGCAAAAGGACTGATTCCCATCTTCTCGCAAAATACCGGACCCCGTTGTACCGCAGACAGGAGAGTTTTGAAAATGCATACTACAAACAGAAAATGTCTGAAAACTATGACAACAATAACGTTAATAAGCAGCAACAAAAACTACATATCTTGCTCCAACCGGCAATTAACACCGGCGGCAGAGCAACGGGCTCACCTAGTCCAACCTACTCTTCTCATTAAAGTACCTTTTTAAGCTTGTAAGGGTCAAAAAGTTTCTTTTGCTTTTAACTATGGTGAAATTTCAAATGACGTCGTTTTAAAATTGAAATCTGATTCGCTTGATGCGAACTTTTCTACTTTTGACTCGGATTTCCTGCTAAACTTTTCAAATGCCCTGCAACACTTTTGATCAGAAAAGGCCAAATTTAATGATGCGTTTTCAGAATTCACGACCAAAGAGTCAATGTTATCATGTATAAAGGAAAAGGGTTAGTAGACAACGTTTGAACAAAAGGAGACGAGGTTGTGGAAGTGACGCAGTTGTGGTGTCGTTTACAGTTAACATACAAATGTCAAGTTATTTGGTCGTGTAGGATGTTCGAAGATATGATTGAGCAACCGAGTGAATTCCGAAGTGATTGATGTGGAGTTAGCTAGCTATCCTGATAAGCATCCTTGTCTGTTAAAATCTAGAGTGAATAGTGTTGTGCAAGTGTAACTGCCGGTGTCGCCGTACTTCAACACTCCCCTAGGTCGAATTGGCAGGGTCACCTTGCTTCATCTTGCTCATGACATCGCTGAGGAACTTCTCTATCGCGAACTTCGTCGAGATCTTAGTGAGGATGTCTGCCCACATATCTGCTGTCCCACAGTGACGCATCTTCAATGTCTTGTCTTCGATGAGTGCGCGAATGAAATGGTGCCGCACCTCGATATGTTTCGATCTTTCGCTTGTCGAGGCCGTCTGTGCCGTAACGATGGCTGCTTTGTTGTCGCAGTTGAGGATAGTGGTATCTTGTGTTTGACCCAAGTCATGCAGAATCCCGCGGATCCACAACATCTCCTTGGTCGCCTCGGCTGCCGCTACGTACTCAGCTTCGCACGTCGAGAGGGCAATGATCTTCTGGCGGCTTGATTTCCACGACACCGGTCCACCTAGGAGCATCCACACGAAGCCGCTGGTGGACTTCCGGTCGGGTTTATCAGCCCAGCTTGCGTCCCCGTAGCCGAGCAGGGTGGCCTTGTTGTCCGAACCTTTCGACTGGTAGGTGATCCCAACGTAAGGTGTGGCTTTGATGTAGCGTAGTACACGTTTTGCCCCGACCATGTGAGGTTCGCGAGGGTCGTGGAGGTGGCGGCTCAGTCGCTGGACGGCATGGCTAATGTCTGGCCTGGTACAGGTCATGAGGTACATCAGGCTACCCACGATGGAGCGAAACTCTTCTTGGTTGGTAATCGGGGCATCTTCCATGTCCCAGTCTCCGTTGTCAATGGCCTCTGGCGTTGTCTTGCCCGAGGAGTTCGCCATGTTGAATCGATCGAGCACTTTGGCGGCGTAGGCGGGTTGGGAAATCGTCAGGGCCCTGGCTTTCTTGTCACGAGAGATTTTGATACCGAGGATGTGGTGGAGCTCCCCTTGTCGCTTGAGACTCATGTTTTCCGAGAGCCCCCGGAAGATGTCGTCTATTTGTTCTTGGGTCTTGGCGACGACAATGAAGTCGTCAACGTAGGTACATACGATCTCCAGTGCAGCTCCTTTCCCTCTTGTGTAGAGGCATGGGTCGTGATTCGACGGTTTGAACCCGAGCTTTACCATGATCTTTCGGCAATGTTCGTACCACGCCAAGGCCGCCTGCTTCAGCCCGTACAGGGCCTGGTTCAGAAGCATCGCCCGAGTTGTTCCGTCTTCGTACCCGTCCGGTTGTTTGACGTATATCTTCGTTCCTTCTGGCATGCCCGCTTGCACGAAGGCGTTGTCTGCGTCGCCTTGCTCTGCAACCAACTCGAGGTGTGCCACGAGAGCCAGTACGATTCGGATAGTTGACGCGCGAACAACGGGGGAAAATGTTGCGTCGTAGTCCACTCCCTCGACTTGGGAGTATCCTTTGCAGACCAGTCTCGCTTTGTACCGAGTCACTCTCCCCTCGGAGTCTGTCTTCTTGGCATATGTCCATCGTGACCCGATGGCCTTCCGATCGGTGGGTACGCTGGACAGTGTCCATGTCTTCTGCGCCCGAAGTTGTTCCAATTCCGCTTCTTCTGCTTTCTTCCACTTGTCTCGGTCTTGGGACGCCATCGCTTCCTTGTGGGAGTTCGGTACGTCTCCTGTCGGTGACACGGTGGTCCACGCAAACTCGACGCCGTCCATGGTTATCAAGTCCTTGTCGCGAGCGTGACCGCTGAAGTCATATCCCTCGTTCGGATCACGGGCTGGCGCTCTTGTTGCGCGCGTTGGGCGGTCGATTCGGAAATAGCTCTTCGCTGGCGCACTGGATGTGGATCGGGGCTTGAAGTGGCTGGGAGCAGCGGTGGGAGTGTTTTGGGGTGCCGGGGTGGAGCCTTGGTTGGTAGTGGAGTAGTCTGTGTACCCCCTTGCAAGTTTTTCCCAGACTTCTTGTTTCCGAGAAGTGGACATGGCTTCCCCGACCTCGTCGATCCGTTCCTTCAGTCTTCTGAGTATTGGCGTATGGGTTGCAGAGTCGTCGTATCGTGGTGTGAGTGCGCTGATGGCCTGCTGGACTGATGGTTTTTGTCTTAGAGTCCCTTCGACTGGTGGGCTCGCAGGTTCTTCGTCTTCATCGTCGTCGATGATCAGTTGGTGGTCGATCTCCCGGGGTCCGTTGGCAAACTCGCTCTCAGAAAACGTCACGTGTACTCCGCTGGTGACCTTCTGTGTCTCTAGGTCGTATAATTTATAGGCCTTCGTGTCTTCACAGTACCCCAGCATGACGCACTTTGTTGCCTTGGGAGCCAGTTTGTCTCTCTTCGTTGGGTCCTTGACCATGTTGTACGCGATGCAGCCAAACACCTTCATATTGGCGAGGGTTGGTTTTCGGCCGGTGAGGAGTTCCAGTGGGGTCTTGCTCCCGGTGCTGGTGTGCAGTACTCTGTTTTGGATGAATGCCGCAGTACGTACTGCCTCCGCCCACCATCGTCGGGCCATGTTGGCGTTCGTCAGCATGGACAAGGCCATCTCCATGAGTGATCGATGTGCCCGTTCCGCGATCCCGTTTTGCCATTGGTTGTCCGGCGCCGACTTCTCGTGGCGAATTCCGTGCTGGGTCAGCCACTCCTTGAACTCGTTTGAGGAGTATTCGGGGCCGCCATCCGATCGCAGTTGCTTGACTCGTTGTCCTGTTTGGCGTTCGGACCATGCCATTACTTGCTTGAAGTTCGTCTCTTGGGTGTCTGAGTCTGTTGATCGTACGAAATAGACGATCTTGTACCCCGTGGCAGCGTCCACGTAGACGGTGTAGAATCGGCACCCGCCAACTGATTCTGTCCGGAGTGGGCCTTTCGTGTCCGTCACCCAGCATTCACCTGGTTTGTATTTGTGGGTTGCAACCTTGGGTGCTGGTGACTTGTGTATCTTCGACGTTGTGCATGGATCGCACTTCGCACTGTTGGTGACCAAGTTCTTCGGGAGGCCGAGCCCGGCCTCAGCACACTTCTTCAGTGCGGCTATAGGCAGATGGCCGATGCGCTGGTGCCAAAGACTTGATTCGTCCATGGCTGAGTGGGCTACTTCCGGTGCCATCTGGTGCCCGTCCAGAACGTACACCTTGCCAGTCGAGTCAGTACTTGCCGTGGCAATGGTTTTGCCAGCTACCTTGACGATGCAGTTTGAGTGTTTGAACATCACTTCACAGTCCTCGTTGGCCTTTAGCAACGCGGGGACTGACATCAGAGTCATGGGCATGCCGTCGATAACCAATACGTCCTTGAGCACCATTTTGGTTCCACAGCTGGTCCGGAGTGAAAGGTCTCCCGACTTCTTGGCGTGAGTAACGTGGCCGTTTGCCATTACAACCCGGCGTTCGCATGGTTGAATGTTGGCCAATTGAGATTCCGAGTTTGTCATGTGCATAGACGCTCCCGAGTCTACCACCACTTGCTTTGACTGGACAGAGGCTATCATAGCGCAACTTGGTTCATCATTGAACGCTGCCATGATGTCTGCGTCCATTTGCGCCGTGTTGTCGTCGACGGTTGCGGTGAACAGGTACACGTCATTGATGGCTGTGTTCGCTCGCTCTTCGCCGGCTGGATATCGAGGGTTGGGCTTGACTGGAGGATCGCCACGGAGCTTCTCCCGGCATTCCTTTGCCCAATGTCCCTTTTTTCCACAATGGTGACACGCTCCTGTCTTCTTTCCCTTGTTGTTGTCGCGTCGTGCCTGCGTGGCGAGTGCTCTTTCGTCTGCATTTACCTGGCTCGGTGCCTGAATCTCCTTGCTTGCCAGCGCTGCTCTGTACTCTGCCTCCAGCAGTACTTTGACTGCGTGGATCGTTTGGTGCCCTTCAGGTTTCGCGTTGATCTGATGGGTTACGCTCCGTAGGCACCATGGCATCAAGGCTAGGAGTTTCACGACTGACAGGTGCTCAGGCTCCACACAGTCTGCGCCCTGTAGCTTGCGAAGTAGAACTTCGAAGCGTTCCAAGAAAGATCGCAGCGTTTCTTGCTTGGGGTTCCAGCTGATGGCATGATATTCAGCCATGAGAGCGATGCGATCCACCTTGGTGCTTGGTTCGTGACGTCGCTCCAGCAGTAGGTATGCGTCGTGGCATGTGGTGGCTTCTTCGATCAGATGATACTGTGACGGATCGATCATCTCGATGAGAAGTCCCAAGGCCTTTTGGTTGTCCTCTTGCCACACCGCGATTGATTTCTCGTCGGGCTGCGTTGCCGTGGATGATGACGTCACTCTCGCCCTGCGCTCAGCGTCCGTCATCAGTGACGTGTGCACTCGCATGACGTGCATAAGTCCCTTCGCCAAGAGCCGACCTCGGAATGCGGTTCTCCATAGGTTCCAGTTCGTGTCCGTGAGGACGAGCAATGAACGTGAGGTGGTTGGGCTCATAACCTGTTCGAAGATATGATTGAGCAACCGAGTGAATTCCGAAGTGATTGATGTGGAGTTAGCTAGCTATCCTGATAAGCATCCTTGTCTGTTAAAATCTAGAGTGAATAGTGTTGTGCAAGTGTAACTGCCGGTGTCGCCGTACTTCAACATAGGAGGGACGGCACTCCGATTTGAATGCCTTA